TATCACTTTTTCTATACCATACGTCTGTTACATTGGGAGATCTGTTTCGATCTGTTCTGACAAATTTTATCCAGATATTTTTACACCATTCCATGCAGAATTGATCGGTGTATATAATCAGTAAAAAAGATTTATGGGGTCTTTTAAAAAATATATCAAAATATTCAAAATACTTGAAAAATCGCTATATACTGGACCTCTCAGTTATTGAGTATTTTATGTCTAGTGCGCCTAATCCAATTTCAAACGAGGCACAAAATAACACTGTTTGTAGGGCGTTATCTCCTCTATCGAATGGTAAATGAACAAACTTTGTCCGACTTATGATGGAGAAAAGAATTGAGTAAATACTAAACTTGACTACAACATGCATATTTATGCATACTGATTCTCAGTGGTCAAATTTGCGGGGACTGGATCTCGTGAAGGAAACACTTTCAAAACGAGATATTTTGATTTTCTTAGTTTCAAAACATACTCTATTGATCGAGCAAACAAAGCGAAAAAAATAAAACTTGGCAGGTGCCGGCAATGGTCAGTGCTATGATGGATCCTCTCTTAAGATCTTCTTCGTCCGTCCTTTCTACCATTTCGACTTACTTTTGCAGGCAATGAAATAGCATCAGAATTATCGATTATTAAAGACATTAACAAGCACTGTTGCATCAGTCTTTTTTATGATCGATATTCTGTAATGGGGTGTCATGAAAGTTTTCTTTTATATGCAAACTCAAGTGAACAATTTCATCGATTAATGGATAAAAACATTTATCCGATACAAATATATTCTCTCAATTTCTCCATTGATTTTCCATCTAAAGTCCCTTCTTCTTGTTCTATTGTAGCAATTGATGTTCCAGCTCAATGGAATTTAACAGAATTCGAATCAGACATTGAAAAGCAGCACCCGACAATCATTAAAGTTGAACATGTTTGTATTAAAGATGGTATACTAATGCCAAAAGTACGAATTGACTTTCCGTCTAATCAAGATGTCAGTAAAATTATCAAGAACAAACTATTATTATTAGATCAAGTTAATACGTCATTCGTGATCCAACCCTACTCCCCAACACTTAGAATATTAGGTTGTTATAATCTTCAATAATACAGTGCTCGCATTGCAGCAACTTGTTCACACAAAGACAATCCCACTTGTTCTCGTTCTAGTCAAAATCATCCGTACTATCCACACTGCATTAACAAAATCTGCTGTGCAAATTGTCATCAAGATCATATGGTGGGCAACCCCAATTGTCCAACAAAAATCGAAAAAAGGAGAAAATATCAAAATAGCATCTTCTCATCCATCATCAACAAACCAAAACAAGAAAATTTTTCTTCCTTCGTTTGGACAACTAATGAAATTAAGCATAATACATCTATTCTTCTATACAGTTCAATTGAAAACGTTCAAAAAAAAAATGTTGATCCAAGTGCGATTTTAGACATTTCGAAGAAACTTAATTTACTTATGATCAAAATTGAACATCTTTCAACTGAACAAATGAAGATTAATTCAAGTATAAATAGCACGAATCAACTTATCAACTCATGTCACAAAGAAATAAGTTTAAGGAAAAAAAAGATAGACTACTTTCATTACTTGTTCAATTTAAACAAGATTTTAAAGAAGCAACAAAATCAACTGTTTTTGATTCACGATCCAACGTTATATTATCAAATTCTTCATCCAATGAACCTATAAGCAATGACATTTAAACCAAATCAAACTAAATCTTATATTATCCAAACCGATCAATTAACAAAAGTTGGAGAAAACATCTTCCAAGACTTAGTATGCGAATAGACTGACACTCCCACACTTGATCTTTTACTCAAAAATTGGACAAATCATCATGATAAAACTTTTTCTATAATGAACATAAAACAAAGTGTTTTTCTTCTTCTTTTCAATGTTTCTAGTTTACACTGGAACCTTATCGATGTCTTTAATTTGATCGATTCCATTTTATCTTCAATTATTGTATCAAATAACACGCATCATGATAAAAATTGTGTTAAGCAATTTTATATCTCATTTCTTCAATTTCAATGTTTTCTCTATGAGAGGACCCAATATGTTCGGTGGAGTTTCAATTGCGGCGCACAAATCAATTCGTTCTAAACGAGTAGGTAAATTTGACAATCTACTTACTATAATCGTGGTTGAAGGTGGCTCGGATTTGGAAATGTTTCAATTAATTACATGTTATTTTCTAGCTGCTGAGCCAATTTCTCTCAATATATTTAATCGCTTGCTTGAACATAATCCAAATTCCATCTTCATCAGTGATTTAAATGCCAGCCATAGTTCATGGTCACGATCAATGAAAAACCACGAAGGACAAGATTTATTCAATTGATTATTTTCATTAACAAACACATACATCCCTGAAAATCATCAACAAATTTATACCGACCTCAACTCATTCCGACGTAACAGTCGATCTCATCATCGCACCATTACACATTTCTTCTACCTCCTTCTCGATTCTTTGAATCATTGGAAATTATCACCATCCTATTTTATGGTACTCACCATTTAAAGTATCCTCTACTTATTATCGTTATTGCATCAAGCGAACTCGTTGAAACCTATTCGAAAATTTTTCTTACGTTCATAGCAACTTATTGGCAATCATTAGCTACTTCAACGTCATTATCTCAAATTATTTCGCTAAACCCGTCATCCAGCTATTTCTTCACAAAAGAAAGTCGTGGCTGAACTATTGTAATTCGTTAAACGATTGTGACACAATAACTTTTCGGGAAAAAGCAAAATGTCATTTGAACTTCAGAGCTGCGCCAATTGAAATTTTTCTCACCAACAACAACATCGTCTTTTCATCAGTGGATATAGGGTATGAGTGATCTTGTAACATATATCCGCGCACTTACACCCACACCCAGACCAACATTCACATCCACACCCATGCCCTATGTTCCCTCCAATAGAATAGAGATTTAGAGGTCTGTGCAAATGAAGCTATTTAATAAGACGCGCAATGGCTCTATTTTAAGCGTAAGCAGTGAATGCATAACGAAAAGTGATTATAACTTATTGTTTTGTCAAACATTTGAGCAAGTAACGAGATAAACCCATTGCAATCAAGTATATTAGCCAACAGACGAGAAAAAGATGGGTTCAAATATCTCTATATACCAGATTCCATGTAGATTTTTACACTGGTTCTGAATATGATGTTACTTTTTATTTTCAACCGTGAAATATATTAGAAAATGTCGCAATACCTCCAAAATTCAGTCAAAAAGCCGTTTTTTTTTCTAGTTTGATCCCTTTTCATACGAATGAGACGCTCCCGTAGAAAACCAATTATATAGTCCTATGGAGGAACTTCCGCTCTATCAAACTGTATCTACCACCAAGCGCGCAAATTCCATTTTTGTGGTCAATATTTGGCCCGACTTTTTTGTAGTTGTACTAAGGGAGTAGTCCCATCAAGTTGCAAAAACTATTGTAAAAATAGTGTACTAGATATGTTTTCGACTGGGCTTCTCGAGTCTTCAAGAAATTTTCAATTCCGAAAGCACCCAACTGAAAAATGGTGAAATTACGGCGAAGATTACATTTTTTTTGTTAAAAAAGCGTGTTTGCGATATTTCAACGATATCTCAGTCCTTTGTTAATGAAAGTCACACAATTTTGCTATCAAAATGATCAGCGAAAAAAAACTCTTCGAACACTAAGTTTCGTTCATTTTGAAGAGTAGGAGTGCAACGATGGGACAATCCTGGTGAAACCTCCCATAGTATTTCAAAACATAAAACCAAACTGATGTGTATAGTATTCACAAAAGCTCGATAGGATTGTAGCGCTCAGTAAACTTTACAATATGGGCTAAGTCAATCTAGGCTTGCCTGGAACTAATTTGACAGAATAAACCATTTTTCTGAAAATTTTGTTGACCTTCTGAGTGACCTAAAGTGTAGTTTACCTTTTTCATCATTCATTCGTTCATTCGATAAAACTTTCATTTAGAGATTCAACATGTTCGTGCAGAGCTGAAGCTTATAAATTATACTATTTATGTCACTTATAACCTTTGAAAGAAGTTACAGATTTTGTTACTTTCGGACTTCTTGCAGTCTGATGACGAAGGTCTTTTTTGGTGACAATCTGAGAATTTTCCGCTCAGTCTCTATCGGAATACTAAAAAAAAAGAAAAGCTGTCAATATGCTGCAGCAATTTTATATACTTTAATAGTGCTATCTTGAGGGTGTAGGTATGAGTGATGGATGTGTAGTGAACGGGTGAGAACGAGAATGGATGTAAAATGCTCACATTCGTCAAATGTAAAAACGGTGAAACTAATGGAATTATTTTATTTGTTTTCGGAAAAATCAAAGTAATAGCATGAAAATGATACAAAAGTCTTGAAATCAATGTAATGATTTTGATTTTTGTGAGCTCATCAAAGTCATATGGTTTTCTGTGATAAAAAGTTCGAAAAAAAAAATTGTTAAATGAACTGTTTCTGAGTTTTAAATCCGTAGAGAATTGTCGCAGCAAGTGCCAGAGACAAATGAATGTTTAACATAATTTTTTGAAAATGTAGGATGCGATTTGATGACCTGCAAGTTGTGAATGACTTTCGTCGAATCGCCAATGGATGCCCAGCCAGATTCTAGCATGGTAGACCTCCGTTTCTGCCTGTGTAAACGATGTATATTGCCGTGTTATTGCCGGTCGTACTGTTCCTGTAATTGAATCATTTGTTTTTCCATTGTATTCGTCTGATTGAAATGCAAATGATACCTTGTCGTTTTCATAGAAGCGACGAAGAATTTCAAAAGTAGCCGACGATGATGATATATGGCCTGATGAATACGAAGGATGGCCTGGAGTAAAATTATCACCATTACCATCTGCAGGTGCTCCCAATGGTAACCATTGGGGATCTGGCGGAGTGCACGGTCCTCCGTTACGAATAGCGACAATAGGACGCCAGAAAGCATAGTAATATTTCGTGTCGAATATACTGATACGCGCATCTGCTAATGCACAGTTGACCAATGCAAATAAGTGTGCATTTTTTACCAATGTATTCTTCTTCTTAATAGCAATCACTTGGACCACTTGATTGCAGGCACGTGGAAAAGGTCCAACTTTTGGCCCACCATCATAACCCCAAAACTGAGCTATTAGTGTCTCCTCAGCAGTTCGTTTCGTACTGAATCTTGATCCAAACGATTTCACTTCTTCATAAGCTTTGAGATATTCTTTTGAGCATAAAAATTCCAGACGCGAAGACTCTGAGTTACCGACAATACCCGCCGCACGATATGGTAATACAGATTCTAATACAAATGGCTTTACAAGACCCCATTGAGGAGTGCTATATCCCTGTGTTGGACGAGTCGGGTCTACTATATGATAACCCGGTTTCATATTTGGTGTGTAAATTACACTTGCTTTACTCCCATCATTTTTTCTTTCCTCCAGAATTGTGTCTGCTATCTTCTGTCCAATGGCAATACCTAGCTTAATTGCATTCGTATTTGGGGTAGTTTTATGAATACTTTCTAAATAGGCTGTACGGATCGCATCAAACATCGTCGTCTGTTTTGGATACAAAGCACACAATATTGTATATGCGGCTTGCATAATAGCTACCGTCATAGTTGGGTTTTCCGGAACGTGTTTCGTACTTGGTAGATCCTTTACTATGAATACTGGTTTGAAACCCTTATTAAAGACAATCATTGCCTGATACATGCCACAATGAATCATTGCAAAAGCACGTGATACCGCTTGGGCATTGCCTTGGTCCATACTCGAAGTTATCTCAGGATCAAAATCATTGGCAACAGCTTGTGTACTAGCAGAATTCCAACAGAGAACTTCATCAATTTGTTTCGATTGACACTTTTTGAGAAGCATATTGGTAGTAGATTCTAAGGTATCACCCTGAACAGCGACTTGATTCGTTGTTAGTAAGTGTAGAAGTACGATCATAATTAGTTTTTCGACGAGATCCATCCTATATCACAAGTTATAACATACAGCGAATATTACTTTTCATTGTCTATATAGGATGTCTCATAAATAGCTAGGTGATAAGGCATTTAAAGATCTCTACTATGTTATAGTCTGAAGAGCTCATTTTTCCTCTGATGATAGAGCGATTCTTGAAGTTTCTATGGTTATAAATGAACTTTACAAATAATGTACAAACGTATCATGTCTGACCAAGATGAAATGGTTTCAGTTTTCCTTTTTTTTTCCAAGAAAAAACTTATTTTAAAATATTTTCCGTTGTTGAGCTTTTTGTAGATTTTCAATCATTGACATCATGCACTGCCGTTTCATTGATTTTTTTTAGTTATTTTACTGAACTTGACATTAGTGGACTTTTCCTGTCAGAATATCTCAGCCAAAACCAATGAAACGGCAGTGTATGATGTCAATGATTGAAAAACTACGAAAATCTCAAAAACTGAAAATATTTTAAAATAATGCTTTTTTGGAAAAAAGAGGAAAATTAAAATCATTTCATCTTGATCAGACATGATATGTTTGTACATTATTTGTGAAGTTCATTGATAACCATAAAAACTTCAAGAATCGCTCTATCATTAGAAGAAAAATGAGCTCTTCAGACTGTAATGCAGTAGAGATATTTAAATGCCTTATCGCCTAACTATTTATGGGACACCCTGTATATAGGATATTCTAAAAACAGAGAATGTCGGCTACTTTTGTATGTAAATGTTTATCTTATTTTTAAGAAGCAATATTATTGATGTGTTGATTGTATGCTTATCTAGACATAGGTACCTAGTATGTCTTCATACTATCCATTTGTTTTGTGTATTATTCTATCTGTGAGAATTGTGATAAGAACGAAAAAGTCACTATCCCAAAACTATAGGACATCCTATCAAAGAACCGAGGTATACAAAGATAGAAATTAGTTTATTGTATTTTTTTCTTTGAAATATGTATATACAAATAGCACTTATCCGATGGATTCGCTTTCTCTTTTCTGAAAGAACACCAACAGGTTTTGAGACATAAATTTTGTCTAAATGTCGCAACGCTCTATTCAATCATCGATATGAATGGTCTCTCGGGAAAATCCTTTTCTCTTTCCATAAAAAAATTTCTGCAAAGTTTGTTTCTTCTATGAAATTTTAATTCGTCTCCACATTGCTCGTCAACATCCCTGCGGGACGCTATTCCAACCTTATCGTTTACTTCTGGAAATATCTTATATTACTTAGGACAATTCAAAAGTAGTGACAGTGATCCTTTAATACTGTATAGTAAGCTTAAAGAAACTTTCTCTCTAGTTAGTCTCATAGAGAAAAGAATGTTCTATTTTTCTATGCTATTTGATCATACTCCAACTAATATCATAATAATAAAATTTCGATAAGATCAGTTTTTCTATCATATGGAACGATTATACTAATGCCTATTTAGTGAATATTTTTTGAATAACTTTTGATAGAAACAAGATAGAGAGTTGTGGTTATCATCGTTCGAAAGGGGAAATGAAGATGCATCGAATTGCATATTGTACGTTTTTCTAGTATGTTGTCTGAGGTTTGTTTAATCAATTTTCTAGGTGTCGAAAAATGGTTTCTTATCAAAAGGAAACAACAACAAACTGTTTTCTACAGAAATTGCCAGAAAAATTAGTTAGAGCTTCGACTAGAATGCCTATAACTTCAGAATGATTAATTCAAAACATCTGAACCTTCTGCAATTGTGTAGATCTCCCATCGGCGGTTTGAATACACACCTGATCATTGAGAATTCGCTGTAAGCACCTTGCGGAGTAGGTTTATTTTCAAAGAGGTCAGTTGAAAACCCTAAAAAGTCATGTCAACAAACCTATAATATACTATTCGATGCATCTTCATTTCATCTTTCGAACAGTGAAAACTACAGCTCTCTACCTTGTTTCTATCAAAAGTTATTCAAAAAATATTCACTAAATAGGCATTAGTATAACCGTCCTATATGATACTAAAACAGATCTTATCGAAATTTTATTATTATGATATTAGTTGGAGTATGATCAAATAGCATAGAAAAATAGAACATTCTTTTCTCTATGAGACCAACTAGAGAGAAAGTTTCTTTAAGCTTACTATACAGTATTAAAGGATCACTGTCACTACTTTTGGATTGCTTTAAGTATATACAACGTAAAGCATCGATATTTTGAAAGATTCATATGACAGAAACGCAATGTTCAAGAATGATGAAACTTTATATATGAACTAATCATAGCAAGACTTTCATGTCGACACAGTTTTAGATGAAAATTCGAAGATGATTTTACTCGAAAACTAACGTCCTATACGCAACAATCCACTAAAAATTAGAAATTTTGGTCAAATTTCAACAAGACCACGAATCCTTTGACGATTATTCTAATCTAATAGCTCTCTACCTATGAGCATAATATGAATGTAAACGGAGCGGATCACTTGGGAATATTTCCTCGTTAGTAGTATTACTTAACGATAGAAAAATATGCTGGATACTGACAATGGAGAACGTCTTCTGAACAGGATGTGATTTTAAAAACAACTTACGTTTACTCAGTGTATTCTTGCGAAATCTTCTGTGTTGACGAGCAGAGTAATGGTGTAATGAATCGAAGTTGTTCGATGCAAAAAAAACTGAAAGCATTATGTGGTTTATATAGGCATCGAAAAAAATAAGTTTCGCTTGTGTGCATTCATCCATACACATCGAACAGCATACAACCATATATTATTGTTGTTTGCTTGTTCTATCACTCACCGCCCGAGCAGCTTAATCGACAGAGATAGAGAGAAAAAATAAATTGAATGTTGAAAAAAATGTACCGAACGTTGTGACAAATATACCGAACGTTGGGAAAAATATACCGAATGTTGGGAAAAATAAATCGAATGTTGGGAAAATGTACGCTATATCACGGCTTAATTTGCTTTTTCTTCCGATCGTTGTACAAGCTACATAAAATATTAAGGCTTCACAAACACTATTATGCTGCTCAATACTGTTGATCCTGTTTGAGCCAAGCTTCAAACGTCCCTTCTACATACGAGAGAAGATATTGGTTTTTAACATTACTTCTGGAAGCATTTCGTGCCCGTCGCCATGTTCCTCTTCAAAGATCGAGGCTCGGATGTAGTCGCGGCCTCAGTATCAATATTAGCTCATGTCCAGAGTTGTTCTCGGTCCCAACGTTCGCCCATGTCTCAGTTTCAATATCTGTTTCGGCCGCCATCTTCGTTCAAGTTCCCGTCCCTATCGTCGTGTATATGCTTGTTCTGATTACGATTCCTATTTCAGTCGTGATTTTCGTTTATGTCGCAGTTCAAATCGTCATTCTATTACCAATCTCCGTGATCATTCAGTTGCAGACACAACTCACTCCTAGTCGCATAGCCGGTTATATTATCGACTTCAGACCTAATCCTAAGGTCCATCTGGCAGACTGTGTGTAATGCGGGCTCTGCCAAGCCTAACTTCTCTTTCGGATTTCATTCCCTGTCTTGCATCCATCCCGGAATTTTTCACAGACCGGTACTCGTCTTCGTTACAGTTGCAGTCGATTTCTGTCTTCAGCTTGAGTCTCGACTTCAGACTGCATTCGGAGTTTGGCCGCCTTCTCAATTATAGTAGTGTCCGCTTCGGAGCTGATCACAGTGCTCGTAGCAAATGTGTTTTAGGACGACTACTCTGGCCAGGATTGGTACAGTCCGAGCTTCAGAACTGTACCCAGTACCTCTCCAAGTTTCTGTAAGAATCGTGGATGCCGTGTACGCAATTTGGGCTTCAGACCCAATTCGCAGCCTCATTCAGCGTTCACTGAAGGTGCTCGACTTAATTTCAGTTGGCGGCGCATGACGGCCCTCAGATTGGCTCGCAGCTTTAGATTGCATCAGAAGTTTGCCCATTTTCTGTATTACAATGTCTGGTTTTCATTAAAAGCCCTGGAAGCCATGCAGGTTTTAGTCAATTCATCGATCTTACGAGGGAACTACCCGAGGTACTAAAAACCTTTTCGGCCGGGGATGTGATGCTTAGATAGGGCACAGTTAGGAATGATATACCCTGAGTTAGTTCGTCCCCAAGTTGCTTCTAGCAGAAGTTATGAATTTTCCAAGTTATGAGCAAAATGTGCGGGTGTGGGTGTGTAGAAAGCTACCACGACACGTTTCGACTCTGCTTAGGAGTCTCCTTGCTTTGATTTGCGACCAAAATATTCATATTCGACGAACAAATCTCGAAGTAAACGGAGTAGATCTATTTTATGAAAGTCATATGAGTTGTTACTCGGATAGTGGAATATTAGGATTTTATAAGTATTTATTGAGAGATCTAGAAAGATATTTTTCAGATACAGTTGAAGTGTCACATTATGCACTATAGACATGCACAACATAAATAAACTGGGAGGAATCATGTTTGATGATCTATTTTGGAATGTTGATGTCAAACTTCTGCTATCTAAATGAAAACAAAACATTGATGGTTAAGAAGAATTTATGAAATGATTCATTTTTTGTCTTACTAGTGGTTGTTTATCTTCTTCTCTTTTTTGTTTGAACATAGCCGAAGCTACGTAGGTGAAGTTAGCCTCATATTAGAGTAAATCCAGCCGATGTTCGGCGCCAAAGCTGCGCCAGAATAGAACTCGACGAGCTCTATCGATTGGTAACTTTGGATTTTCCATAGCTCGAACCATTCATGAAAAAATCTCAAAATACTAATTTTTTCCTATGCTAATCTTGCCACATGATTAGTAAATCCAGCCGACATTCGCCCAGGAAGCTGCTCCAGACAGCTCCACAATAGAACTCGATGAGTTCTATCGATTGGTAACGTTGGATTCTCCATAGATGAAACTATTTGTGAAAAAATTCGAAAATACTGATTTATTACCAATCGATAGAGCTCGTCAAGTTCTATTCTGTCGCTGTCTGGCGCAGCTGGCGCAGCTTCCTGGACGAATGTCGGCTGGATTTACTATCCATATGGTAAGATTTGCATAGGAAAAAATTCGTATTTTGGGATTTTTTCATGAATCGTTCGAGCTATGGAAAATCCAAAGTTACCAATCGATAGAGCTCGTCGAGTTCTATTCTGTCGCTGTCTGGCGCAGCTGGGGCAGCTTTGGCTCCGAATGCCGGCTGGATTTACTATCCATATGGTACGATTTGCATAGGAAAAAATTAGTATTTTGGGATTTTTCATGAATGACTCGAGCTATGGAAAATCCAAAGTTACTAATGGATAGAGCTCGTCGAGTTCTATTCTGGCGCTGTCTGGCGCAGCTTTGGCGCCGAATATCGGCTGGATTTACTCGAATATGAGGCTAACTTCACCTACGTGCGGAAGCTTTATCTAATTTGCATGTTTTGCCTTCAAGTTTAATACATAAATGTTGAAGCCACAGCAAGACCATTCCGACAGCGAAGACGCTCAAGCACCACAGCATACAGTTAGTATGTTGTCGATAGTCGTCTAGGATGCTGAAAATCTTGTCAATATGGGCTTTCATTGTAGTTGTCGTAATATATTTGAATTTATTGGCATTATTGCCGTTGATTGAAGAACGATATATCTGCTAAATCATAAAAAATGTGATAATGTAATAGAACTATACGTGGTATTTCATGGTTTTACTGTTGATATCTTACATTGCCGAAATAGTCATCTGGCGAGAGGAATTTATTGAATATCATAATAAGGATCGTGAGTCTATGGTCAATAGAAATCTGAAATGAAAACAAAAGAAAAGCATATGTCTAAGCGATTAATCTATTCTTCGGTTTTTCATCACCAGCAGAGATGCCCATCGCGGCCGAAAACCTGCCGCTGCCGCTCCGCTGTGCTATGAAATCGAAAGCAGCCGCGCCGCTGTATTATATAAAATACATGTTGCCGCGGTGCTTCTGCATTTCAACATACTAAAAACATTGCCGTTGTTGCAGCGATATTTGAAGAAAAGGTTACAGCACCGCTACTATCATTATATGAAGAAAAAATGCCATTTGTCGGTCTACAATAGTCATGCAGTCTGGTTTTCACTCGAAATCAATGAGGAATAACGGTTTAGATGCTATAGTAACAAATAACTTCTAAGTATATATAGAACAATTATATTTTACTAGCATTTAAGCAAATAATCTAAATATTTACGATATGTATAATCATATAAATGTATGACATGAAAATGATTGATTTAAAACCTACAAAGAATCATGTCATGTGCCTTTCTATATTCTAATTTAAAGAAGAAAATTAATTATAAAATGCATTAATATGCACGATATTAATAAACTCTTGTTGTTCATTTTCAGTTTGCGATAGTTTGATAGGTCTAAATCTGCAAAAAAATAAAAAAGTAACATTAAAACAAACAGATTAATTACGACTATTTATCATGATTGCCATTTTTAATACAGAAAAAGAATGGAAAAAGATTTTAGCAATGAAAGCATGAACTGAAAATGATATTAAAAATATCTATTAGACGTAAGGCAATACAATAAACACTTTCATATTGTAATCAGTATATTTCTCGTACCAACATAATTAACTTAGATAAGCTTAAAACTTTTATTTGTCTCTGCACTTTAAAATCACCGTAAAATGCAACATTTAGAAAAAGAATTTGATTTGTCTACTTTATGTGAAAGACTAGTTTAATTTCAGCTGTGAAGCTGGAAATTTTTTAGAATTATAGAGTAAATTTTGTGCAAAAAAATCGTGCTGCGTTGCTGCCGCGGTGGCTAAAAAATGAAAAGCCGTTGCCGCGGCACCGGTATGAATGATCTGCCGCGCCGCGCTAATCTATAAAAAAACCTGCCGCTGCCGCGCCGCCTACCGCGGCAGCGGCAGCGGCGCGGCGGCGGCGCGATGGACATCTCTGATCACCAGTCAACATGTCTTTTTATCAAAAAGTGATCCACATGAAAAAGAAAACAATGCGAACGCTCATACTAAAAGTGAGCAGGAATAAGAAAATAATCTCACTATAATTTTAGTAATCGCCAATAGATTTTGCTTGAAGTAGAATTCATTTGACGTGAAATAGAAATTGAATTTAAATGTTGAGATTTTTACCAAATATTAAATATATTTTAGATGGATAAATGTGTTTCACCTTTTTTTTTTGCTTTTGATGAAATTCGATAAACGTTGTTCAATGAAATTTAATACCAGGGAAATGAAACGTTGACGAACAGGAAACGAACATTGATCTTGTTATAAATTGATCCATTTCATGACTGAATATTGTTTATTATTCAGACATGTAGACTTTACTTGAATATATAAATACAAGTAGCATTTCATGTTTATATCGTTCAATCACATTTTTTTCCTATGTTATTCCATGAATTGCTAACACGATTTGTATTAGCATGAATAGTTTGTATATGAACTTTCAACTTTGTGCCAAATTAGATGTGCGATAATTTGTTGGCCATTTGATAGTAATGTGTCATGGTTTGGGACGAGTGTATCATGTGGTTGTTCAGTTAAGCACACAATTTATTCAGTGTACTTCAAGAATATTACAAATCTACAATAGAAGAATATATGATTATGATAATAGAAAATGTAAACATCTATTTTTCGCATTATTCTACATTTGACCATTTCACATATACAGACACATACACACACTGCAAACACACTACAAACACTAGAGAGTAATTATAATCTGCTGGATAATAAACGTTGTTTATATTGAATAAATATTAAGTTCTAATAGTGAATATGTCACTTTCATAAATCATTGAATTGATGTTGTGGTTCACATTGATGAATGATTCAAATTAGCACACCAAACGAGATCATATGGACGACCATAGCGTTGTTCAACATCACCACCAATTGGACAAATCATATTCAATTTGGTTTCAGCATGTATAATGAATAATGTATCGTAGTATAATCGAACGATCATCTGATACTAGATCAATAGAAAACAAAAAACAAAAAAGTACAATGATGATTGAGATCAAGATAAATTGTTTACTTACGAACGGCAATGATTGCCATTTGATACAAGTCTACTTTAACATAAGGAAATTGATGAGTGGAAAACGAGAGAAGTCGTTCGAAAAATGAACGTTGTTGTTGCAGTTGTCGATCTGAGAAGACATAGGTAGCTGGTGGTAATGGCACACGAACGCGATACTGAGTCACTCTAGGATTGTTTACGACGACATTCGCTATCACAGGAACCGATTCTGAATTTGTATCGAAAGTTTCTCGCAAATCAACAATATTTTCTGTTGCTTGTTCGCCACAGGATAGAGGAATAAAACACCAATAACTTGGATTACAATCGAGAAATAAACGAAGTGCTATTGGACATCGAGCTGAATGTTGATAGAGACGCATGCAATTGGCTATTTCATTCCTAGAATATGAAAAAGAAAATGAATATAACATAGATGAACTGAACGATCTTATGTATCTTTCATTACTCTTTCTCGTTGGGATCGAGTGATGATTCTTGACATAGAGGACTATCAGTTAATTTCTCATGTACAATTCGATTTCGATGTTCTCGATGATCTGTATTATAACAACAGAAATTAAAACATACTAATGATCATTCTAATTGAAATGGTGATACTCACATGCCATAGCATCAGCCAATGTTTTTGCTGTTGAATCAACATAATCATAATGACCACATGGACATGTCATAGCATAGACTACATTTGATGTAGTACATGTCTAAATTTTAATGATAGTCTATCATCAATAAACATTCAATATTCGATAAGAACATACTGCTGGACAATTAAGATAGGTAGTATATCCATTGACAAATCGATGCGTTGAATTTGAATTAAAATCAACAACTGACCATTTTTGAATTTTCTTATGACTATTTAATGAATGACAACATAGACAAAATAGATTGCCACATGGAGTCAATGTATATCTTGCTTGAAGTTCATCTCTTCCACAGAAAAGACCTTCAATCTTCGATCGAGGTTCAGCTCCTCGAAATGAACAAGTTTTCATGTACGTAAATCAGATAGAAAACAGACCGATCTATATATCTCTGATACAAAGGGTGGGTGTGGGTGTGGGTGTCAATCAGTGTTGGGCAACTCCGGCTTTTTCCACTCAACTCCGATGGAGTTAGGTCGAAGTCGTGAGACAAAAATTGGAGTTACAACATTGTGCTTAAATGGACGATAGTAGAACGGTCTACAACTCCGACGGTCGCTATGGAGTTGTACCAAAAATTCCTTGTTGCTACGGGAGTTAACTCCGGAGTTACCCAACACTGGTGTCAATATTGGCTTCATCCACACCAACACCCACACTCCATACCCACACCCATACCCACACCCTTATATCGAAGATGAATATTTATTTATAGAATATAATTAATCTAACCTATAGACAATGATTAGTTTTAATTAATTATTAATAAATAAATCTCTCGATATTTGACAAATATCCCATCTAATATAACACACATATATTTATTATAAATAGGTTGAGTTCAATAAGAATTGACTTTTTTTCTTAAAACATAATTCGAATGTTGTTTTAAACAAAAAACTAAATTGTTTTTTTTGTTTTTTTTTTGTCGTTCTAGATCAAAATGTATTGTTAGTCGTTGTTTATCTAAAGTTAAAAATCGTGTTTCATTGTGGAAAATTATAGTATTTTATTTTTCGAAGATCTAACTGTAACATATTTATCGAATTAATTACATCCTTTTGTATTAAACACTTTTCAACTGAAGCACAGAATCATCCAATGACAAAACACAAAAGAAAAAGATGTCTCATATTAAATAAGCAAATCGGAGCAGGTACGTGCAACTAAATAAACAAATATAGATAGCAATACGAAACCCGCATCTAAGAAGCTGCTGAAGAATGAACGGATAGCGTAGATCAAAACTGGAGCTTGAAAGTGAATTATATTGCCCATCAAACAGTCTTCTATAATGGGCATTCAGCCATATTTTTCTCCTTTCACAGAATTATCATCAACAATTAGCTTTGAAGAATCTGGAAAAATATGTCTCGATGGAGAAATAAAATGTTTATAATGATATTTGGAGAATCTTATTTTCGCTTGCATCCAAAAAATATCGTTCAAAACAAAATGACTGTCTAAATATGGGTAAATACATTAAACTTCTTTGAATTTTAACATATTTAAGAAAACAAGAAGATATTGTTGAATAAAAAATAGTTATTTCACACAAATTTTTATTACTTTAATTATAGAAATTTATCGCTAATCGAATTCTAATTTTGTTCTAGTAAATTCGGAATTCGACCAAATCTTAATTTAGTCCACAACATCTACATAAATCATTTGTACATGTTTCTTCGTTGATTTTTACAATGGATGTTTCACAGTTAATATTTAAATAAATCATTTTATTGTTTTTCGATTTACTCCATGAACATCCTATAGAGTTCACACCAAACAGGAACTGGCGATACTCTGATACTCAGAAGGTCGGTTTATCTTCTGACTAGAGCCTAACTTTCTGATACCGAGTCCGAGAATTTTTTTTTACTAGCATAAATACTTCTTTTTGTGTTATTTGTTAATAAGAATGTCTTTCTGGTATTCTTTTTTTTTTCTTGAAACGTATTTGTGAATCTAACTGTTTTACTCATGTAATTTCAACTCCGACGAAGCCGAGTTTCAGAGTCCAGATATCGAGCTTTTTACCGCGATATAGCAATAACTATCGGTTACTGATCGATATTGGACTGACGAGTTGGTGTTCTATTCCACCTGTTAATAGTAATATTTGACGTAATCAACTCTCAACGAAATTTCATTGCATATCTTCTATGAGATACTAAAAAAAAAAAGAAATTAATAAGACACACTGGTAATGACCAATTAATAATCATTACCAGTTCCATCTTTGCCAATGACAATGCGAAGAAATGTATAACATAGAAATAATATTAACTTTTAGTATCACTAAACTTTCTATCATATATTAATTGATGTTTTCACAACTATTATATACTCTGCTTATGGAAATTAAACATTATTTTTTTTTGGATTTTGTGTAAAAGACAAGAAAAAGAAAATGTTTAACAAACAAAGGAAAAAAGATTCTCCACTTGAACACTAAAATTGTACACAAATAGCAATAAAGCTTATTATGACAAATAATAACTAACAGATCATCAAATGTAGCATACACAAACGCATGTTAGAGAGAAAAGACCAAAAAAGAAAAGAAAATGTATAAATAAAGATTATTATATTTGCATACTAAATTTCGATACTAAAAAAAACAAACAAACAAACAAACAAAAGGATGCACAAAAGGAAAAAAATAATTAGCCAATGTGTAAAACTCGAATTTGGCTCGGATTAGGAAAGAAAAAGCATGTTGTTTTATAGAGAAGAAAAAGAAGAACACCGAGTTAAACATACACAGAGTCATTCTCTGTGATATATAATTTAAGATATTTATTAGCAAGAATATTTCTTTCTTTGTTTTTATATCACATTAGAGAAAGAGAAATAGATGAATTGCACACACACATACACATGATCGTTTTAAATTATCACACGGATGTTTCAAGAGGTTCTTCCTCTTTCTCTATTTTTCTCGATCCCTAGAAAGAAAAAAAAAGAAAAACTTTATAACTTCAATATAAAAAATATACATATTTATTTACTTACATCATAAATTAAACGTGGATCTTTATATGTTCCACTTTCAAATAAACGTTTACCAATATCTCGTCCTGTTTTATTCATCGTTATTGTATTTGTTGTCATTTGTGTTTGTATTAAAGGAGTAGATTTTTCTTGTTTATAAGATAATGTTGTTACTCCTTTCTTTGGAAGACCTAATACAGTATTTAACATATCATCAAAAATTGTTGCATTTTCTAAACAAAAAATATAAAAAATGAATTTAATTATTTTTCTCTTTTTTTTTTCTTCCACCTTGATTAGCACTTGATTGACTTGATCGTCGAGATGATATTGGTTGATGAATATTTGTTGTATTCGATGAACGAAAATATTGTCGACCAAATTCTCGTGATGATGATAATGATGATGATGATAAAATTTCTTTATTAGATTCATTTATTCGATTTTTTATTGATATATTATCAGATTGTTGATATGTATTTATTATATCATTATTATTATTATTTAAATCACGTAAACGTGATTCAAGATATCTGATAAATACATGTAAATCTTCTCGAGTTTTTGATATATCAAATTGTGCAACACGTGAACGTATATCATCAAGTGCAGCATGTATACGAGGATCATTTGATGATTGAAGACGCATAAGTAATGATTGAGTTTCATGATTACTATGTGTTAATATATAACCATAAAGAAGATGATCATTATCAATATGATGTGTATTATAAGATATTTCAGAATTCTCATTTACTTGACCTGTATACCATTTCATTGACTAAACATTAGAGAAATTTTATATTTTAACATAAAGGATTACTGTTTTATGGAGAACAAAAAAAAGGAATTTTTCATCGAAAAACATCTGAGAGGAATCCTTGCCCACATTTGTTTTTTCGAGGAAGTGACCGGTTTTGAAAATTTGGCACCCAGTGGCCTCTAGTACCATACTACCAACGACAAAATTAACCGTACACTTGATTTTTGATCTAAAATATAGAGTTTATAGTAAGAAGAAATTTTCTTGGATATATATGAATAGTACAAGTATAGATGTTTATAATACAAATAAAAATCAAGTTAATGGTCGATTACTGTATATTTGCTTTTGTATATTTTGTGCTTGGCCCCTATTTAAATAGGGGCCAAGCACAAAATA